TTCTGCTACGACATTTCTCCCGAATAATAAAAAATAACAAAGAAACAGTCGAAGGGAAAAGAATGTTATGTTTATTTTCAACAAACCACACCAGTTATCGGAATCGCATTAATCCACGCGAATAAAAGTCACGACGATCGCCAGATCGGTATAAATTTTTTTCGCGATAAATTCGCGGCAGAAAACCATACAAATCATATTTCCCCCGAGAATCTTTGCATCTGTGCTTCGAATAATCTATTTTTCGCGTAAAATTGTAAACATTGATCTTCAATTCTGTTTATAGTAAGAAAATCATTCAAATAAATTATAAATTTAATTTTGGCTATTAATGATTTTCATATTTATAAATTGTTACAGAACTTTCCTAGAATGAATAATAGTAGATATCATAGTCTTGTCGAACAAATAAAGAATATTCATTTCTGTATTTGTAAAAAAGGATTTCGAATAACCAATTTCTGTAGAAATTATCGTCTCTGATGGCGCAGCAGGGTTAGAGTGAACGTGTAGTTTATATGAACACAGTTTATTTGGGATATAGGCAATAAAAAATAGGTTGCATATTTATAGAATACACAAATGGAGTAATATAAATGACAGTATATAATAGTAATAAACTTTTACGCGGTTCCATCTTTAACACGTGCCACAAGCAACAACAAACCGCAGTCTCGTTACAAATTATAATAATACCGTGATAACACTTGTTTATTTCTGTCGATTAAAATTAAGCATACAACTTTGTGTAATAATAACTATCCACAGCATGCTATAGACATAGAAAAGCGTCTAGAATTTATAATTAACAAAATATTATTTTTAAATAATACCTTCAATTTTCTATCATCATAGAAAATGACAAAAAGTACTAAATTTTATTCGGTTTAAAAATCTTCTAGCAGAAAATATTTAAAATAATGTAGCATGGTTCGGTATGTGTTATAAAAATATTATAACGATTAATTACGTTCGACGAGCAACGATACTGCAAGAGACGGATGAATCGATGAATTCAACTGTAGATCTTCCCGAAGAGTAAAATACTAGTAATAAGAGTAATTAATTAACTATTTTCCATTACTTTATTCTCCTATCTGCGATACATCCGCAAATATACTACGAGTTCTTTGGTATACTCTGTCAAACAAAATCAATTCATCGCCGCAAACTTGACCATCCTTCCAGTTAAAAAAGCATAATAACCATTTCTTAGAAGCACTCGGAATAATTATCTCGCGGTAATCGTGGAAAAGCCTCGACCATCCTACTGTACGTGACGTGAATTTAATCACGCAATTAAGATATTCTCGGTACACGGAGTACTTAAGAGATCTTTCTTGAAAAAATAGACTATTATTCGACGAATTCTGCCTTATTCCTTCGATTCTTGCCTTATACAACAATGTATGTATGTATTGCCTTGACCAAAGAAAAAACGCACATTTCGCGCAACCGATTTTCAACTGTTCGCTCCAGGAACATTCATTTCGCCCTTGAAAGAGTTTCAGTATCGAACTACGACTTGTCCCCGATTGTTTTCATGACGCACAACGGAAAATAATAGGTCAGCGTAGCGATGGGAACAATACCATTCAATCCCTATCGATTCCTTATAGGTAGCTACAGCAGTATCGTTCTAAACTTATTACAATATTCTAATCCACCATAAATTCACTGTTCGGTGCCATAAAACAACAGTTTTTCGAGTACTTGCAACTAAACTGTACAAATCAAGTTTGTAAAAACGCGATAGTATAATTATCGGATCGCGTAATTTTCGAAATAATTACAAATTGTTATTTCAAAGTTTTACAGTGTCTTGCGATCAATGGGACAGTATGTATTAACACATTCACTGCCACGTTACCCACATATGGGTCACACGACTTTTCACCAACGAGTGAAAACAATTAATTCTCAAGCTTAAAAATGTCAAAGAAAATAAAGCTAGTTTGTGAAAATAAATTCAATAACAAATGATGGGTATGCTAGTTTCCAGTTGTCTGCAAAAACAAAATTTCATTTCCCTTTTAATTTGAGGAGTTTGGTCTGACAGTCAATATGTTAATTCTGCACATTTCAATTATTTTCTCGAAAAATGAAGGTGACCTTGTTTAAATACAGTGCCGAGCAAAATTATTAGCACAGAGCGTATTTTCAAATAAAATGTTATGTAACTGTGAACAAAGCATAATATCTTCTTTATTTTTTGTATAAAATATAAGTTTGAGGTTTGAACTTTAAGTATCTCGCGAAATCTCGTTCTTAATTTCTTTCGAATCTTTATCATCGATACATATTTCTAGCTGATTCATCAAAGTTTTGTTGCTGCCGCTTCTTGGCGTATTTAATTAATTAGTTAATTCAACGATAGACATCAGCTTTAGGATACCTCCACACCAAAAAGATTCACAGAAACCAATTAGACTAAAGTTCTATCCTAGTTGCGATGAATCAAGACATCTATGATTAACTTCATACACGAGTGTTGTAAATTAACAAAATTAAAGAAAGGGTACACGGTGTATCCGCCATGTTTACAGATGATAAAGGTGTCATCGACATGCTTCCTCCCGATTTTTTAACATTAGGACGTCGTACTTGAATTTAATAAACAAAATTTAGTGATAGACATACTTTTACTTTTTCTTTACGATGCAAATAAGTTAATCAAAACTATTTAATTTCATTCTCTGTTAATGTAATGATATCGGTGATTCGTTTAGAGGATCTGTCAACTGAAACAGACTATAACTCGATTTCAAATAAAATTGGACAAAAATTAAGTTCAATTGCACTTTCTTTTTCAATAGAATTCGCTGATTTTGTTTCCATAAAAGGTACCCCAATATTTTAGGAGATATTTCGTGTCTACGATTAAAAAAATAGAAATTAATTTATTTCATTTTCTTTTCAAAATTAACTTTCAAATATTACATTTTATTTGTGCAACGAAAGATGATAAAAAAAATGGACTCTTGAATATACGTATAAAGGAAAGGTTGAATCGATTTGCTCAATAATATAAGCATTATATGTACTTCATCATATACAGTGCCGAACAAAAGTATTGGCACAGACCGTATTTTCAAATAAAATGTTATGTAACTGTGAATAAAGCACAATGTCTGCTTTATTTTTGGTATAAAATATAAGTTTGAGGTTTGAACTTTAAGTATCTCGCGAAATAAAGCGGTTAAGTAGACCTGTGATAATGAAAAATAGTAACAAATACACAGAGGACAGTTTTCGACGAAACAAAAGTATTGGCACACTTGTAAACTTAATATTTCTATGAAACACTTATGTAAATATTTATAATATTGGCATCACTGTTGTATCCAGGGATTGTGTCCCGAGATTGAATTTGATATTCATTTGTTATTTCTTTACCAAGTTTGCCTGTAATAAAGCGAATAACACAACAATGTATCGAAAAGCACGAGAAACAACAATTTCAGAGAGAAAAATTCTATTAAAATTATCGAAAGAGGGAAATTCATATTCTACGATAGCTAAAATAGTAAATAGAAGTCGTTTTACCGTAAGAAATATCGTTAAACGGTTTCCTGACGAACAAAATGTAAAAAATCTTCCGCGAAGTGGTCGTCCACAGAAATGATCAGAACGAGATAAACGAAAAATTACCAAGATTGTAAAAAAAAATCCTAAAGTTGCCTCTAGAGAAATAGCGGCACAAATGAAAAGTGAAAATAAGGTTGATGTACATCCTGAAACTATCCAGGGAGTTCTTAAAAGTGCACAATTCAAGAGTGGCTAGAAGAAAACCATTGATCAGCAAAATTAATCGAGAAAACAGATTAGAGTTTGCAGAAATGTACGTAAAACGTACGTAATTTAGAATTTTGGGATAGAATACTCTTCTCTGACGAAAGTAAATTTAATATTTTTAAATCTGATGGTGAAATAAGAATATGGCGAAAGCGTAATACCGAGTTAGTTAGGGATTCGCATAACATAGTCTCGACTGTTAAACACGGGGGTGGTAGTGTATTAGTATGGGGTTGTACGAGTTCCTCCGGACTTGGAGAACTAGTTTTTATAGACGGTATTATGGATAAATTTGTATGTTTAAATATTTTGAAAGAAAACTTAAAAAAAAGTGTGGAAAAATTAAATCTTGGGGAAAACTACTATTTCCAACAAGATCATGATCCCAAGCATACTGCTTATATGTATTGCCCGGCAATGGATCGTTTTTAATACACCCCATACATTGCCAACCCCTCCTCAATCGACGGATTTAAATCCGATTGAACACATATGGAATGAGTTAGAAAGAAGGATCTGAAAACACCTTATTCAAATAAAGGAGCAATTAAAAGATGCACTTATGAAGGAATGGAACGAAATAGGTTCAGAAGTAACACAAAATTTAGTGCATTCGATGCCTAATCGGTTACAAAATGTAATAAGACAAAAAGGATTACAAACAAAATATTAATTTGAATATTGTATTATGAAATAGTAAGTGTGCCAATACTTTTGTTTCGTCGAAAACTGCCCTGTATGTGTTTGTTATTATTTTTTCTTATTACAGGTCTACTTGATCGCTTTGTTTCGCGAGATACTTAAAGTTCAAACCTGAAACTTATATTTTATACCAAAAACAAGGAAGATATTGTGGTTTGTTTAGAGTTACTTAACATTTTATTTGAAAATACGCTCTGTGCTAATACTTTTGTTCGGCACTGTATATGTATATAGGGCGATTCTAGTGTCGAAAATGAAGATTAGTAATTTGTTAATTGAGGCTAATATAATACCTTTAAGGATTGGTGAAATATTCGTTATATGTTCGTTGGTGAAAATAAATGATAAAAGTATGGTACCGGTTGGTTCGCCCTATCGAATTAGTCCCGTCGCTGAACAACTCATCCCATGCGATGAATCCCAGTACAGCGTTGTAACCCCGTCAGTTACGTAATCACCGAACAGTGAACAGTCGAAGAATAAAGAGAGGAAGCGTGGGTTACCTTGTCGAGATCGATCTCGTCCTGGGAGTTGAGCTCCGGGCAAGCAAAGGTCGAATATTCCGAGTTGTTGACGGTGTTGTCCGCCCGCGAGACACCAGCCAGAAACAGCACCACTAAGCACCACTTCATCGTTCGCGATAGATTTCAGGCCTCGAAGGTATCCAAACTCCTCCACCGTGTGTGTGTGTGTTCGATCAGTCTATCGCGCCTGGCATCGACGCGACGCTTCGATCGCGATCGCGCGCGGCCGTAAAATCGTTCGACCTTGAACGAGAAAGAGAGACTTTGACCCAATTTTTCACGTCAACCGACCGCGATGGTCCCCCCCGGTGAGGATCCTGGGAAACTCGTTGCACAATGAGCAATCAGCTCGGTTCGGTTAACGTCACCGCGGATTAGGAGGTTGCGTTAAGAGGCAACATCGCAAGCTCGCGTACTCCTCGACTGATATATTCCAAGCGAGTTACGCGGCAATGTTCCCCCCAGTTCCTTTGCTTCTGGAACGCTTTAATTGAACGCCTCGCTCATTCCCCAACGCGTTCGTCCCTGATCATCCGCCACTATTTTCTCTTTCTCTTGCTCTCTAGATCGCTCCTGATGTAATCTTCTGGTCACTTTGTTTCTCCTGGTCTACGGGGATTCCCAGCTGGTAATAACCGAACCGATTCACAGAAATTCTTAACTCGAGGTTCCAACTTGGTTCGGCGGACACTTGGGGGGTGAATCACTGTTCTCGTGGCACTGTTTTTCACTGTTCGACACGGATCGCGCGATCGATGCACACTCGTCGACGCTCTCGAGACAAGAGCCAACGATCTACGAGGTACACGATCGAGTAGGCAGGGATGCATGCGCGTGCGGCGCAGTCGTAGGGCACTCTGACGTTCCCAGTCTGCTCGGTGGTCCTCGTCGCTGTGTCTGCCCGAGCGTCGCGATCACAGGAGGGGGGGGGGAGGGGGGGAAAGTAAGAATGGACCGTACGCGAGACACGGGGATCGAGAATTAACCCAACGATCCAAAGAAGGGAGCGTTATTTTCGTTGGAAATCAATTTTCGCGGTGACTCTGATCGAATTTTCGATTAACTTCGATCACTCACGGAATAACAATTACCAGACAAGTTGCCTAACGCATGGTCTTTCGTGCATCACACCCAAAATTTCACTATAAATGTATCATTCTTTAGAGAATGATTTAGAGAATAATGTTCTCGAGCAAACCACAGAGATCTCTCATTTTCGAAGTGAAGAAATAAGAAAAATATAATTCAGAAATAATAAATAAATACCATCCGAAGTTTAGCATGTTTCGACGTACGGTCGCTGTTATTATTATTATTTGAACGTAAACAAACGACAATCTAGGCAGGCCTCCAGTTCTGGGTCGAAAAAGACCCGGAAGTCTACATACAGAGATTCCGATCGAATAAATTAAATAAAGCAAAATAAAAGACTAAAAACAAATTGTAGAATGTTACTTATTATTTACAATTTGAAGAACTACGAGTATCTCTATCGTGTAAAATATAATCTTCTTCGTAACGTATTTAAAATATTTTGAAAATATACGAAAAAATAGGAAAATTGCGAGAGGTAATTACGATTTTTCATGATTGAATTTTGTTTAAAGTTGAATTGTAAATAAATCTCCGAAAGTGTCAGAAAGACTTGAAAAAGTTGTTTGAAAATTGTTCTTTCTTTATACGTGGAAAAATAAAAAGAATAACTTTGGTAGAAAAGCTGAAGGTTCCATCATATTTTTGCTGTAATATAAAAGGTACACGCGGTATGTTTTATTTATTTTTGAAAATTTATTTCCCATGAAACGTAGATATGTCGATATAAACATTGATGTACTCGAATCAAGCAATAAAGTGGCGCGCATCGGAGTTTTTGCCCGGCTTTACGATAAGTAAAGTTGTAAGACGCCACGAAGACTTTAGTTTGATCGTCTTCCCTGACACGAGACGTACGTTCGTTTGTCTCGTACGATCCGAACAAATGCCGGAGGAAACCGAAGAAAAGTAGAAAAGAAACAAAGAACGACTTTTCCAGTACGGAATCGAGGATTACAGAAGAAATCGAGGAACGTAGGAAATATGGGAAAACGATTGTTGCGTTGAATGGGTTTTCCATTTCGGCTCCAATGGATGTACACTCGCCGACGAAAAGACAGAACGGAATTGTTCCACTTAAACTACACTACCATGTATTATTCATTCATATTTTTTTGCATTCATAAATTGAATATCACCGTGTTCTCGTCCACTGTTCCTCCATGAAAGAAATATCAGAGGTGAAATTAATTTTACATGCTTCTCGGCATTTATTTCAATAGACCATTTTTGAAAAAAAAATACTTAAATTATCTACACCTGTACATTTAATATTTTCCCAATTTTTAAAAACACTGGATTTATTGCATAATTAATTAATTAATAAAATAGCAAATCTTCATTTATGGTTTAACATCACGACCAAAAGTGGACAAAATTTATTGGATAAAACAATCAAATTTATTCATTGTCAAATATTCAATTCGATAATTGAAACTTTTATTTTATGTAACAAATAGTGGATGGAAAATTGATTAATTTATATTCGTACTTGGACCTTTTGTATTTAGGTAAGAATTTTCTCCACCTCTGATCACGAGAGCTAACAAAATTCGCGCCTAAAATTTTAGCAGTTATGCTGAAATATAATTGCACACGAGAACTTCGTTAATAAGCTTTTAAACTCCTCTTCGATTCAAATAGCCCCTCGGCCCTCGATCGACCCCAATTAACCAACTTTCACTGCGATTACAAAAATTTAGGGTTCTGGATCAAGTATCGTACGTATTCCCACCACCATTACCAATTAATAGATTTTATTTAAACAATAACAAGTGATTGTAGATTAGTTTGCTCTTAGTTCGTTATAGTAAAGTTGTATACCGAAAGCAATGTTTATAAATATAGAAAAATTTAATTATATATTAATTACGTTCAATGTAAATAAATAATATTACCAATAGACAAGAGTAAAGATACAAGTATAATTAAGTTAGTTGTATGAAACAGAGAAATATAGGAAGAAAAGTTATTGGTAACATTTCTCAAAAAGTTTAAAAGAAAAGGCTCAAGATGGAAGACTATGAGGAACATGTTTAAACCATGAGTTAAACTGACATACGTGGAACCCTGGGGATTTACGGATGCGTTGGTGAGGATCCACGAGGTTTCGAAACCAGAAAAAGAGTATACTATACAGGGATTTTAAAACACTTTTGAAAATTTGGAAAAATTATAAATCAAAATATATAAATATAATATAATATATAAACAACATAATAGTTGTTTGCAATTTAAGAAAATATTACATTATAATGAAATAACATACTAAATAAAAAAAATTAAAATTTAGTCTGAAACATCAATTTACATGTAAATATGGTAAATGTTTGAAAACAAGTTGAAAATATTGTAACGCGTTAACTGCTATTTAACAGCTTTGCTTGTTTCTGTCGATTAACTGCTACAGGAGTGTAAGCGAATAGAATGGTGAGATTGGGTGTTAATTAAATTATAGTTGGTGGAAAAGGAAGATTTCGGAGGAGGAAGCAATATGGAAGACCAAAACTTGGCCGAAAACGTCGAATAGTTGAAGTCGAGGAGTTGATCGAGGATGGCTCGTACAGTGGAATTTAATTTTCAGCGTTTCCGTTTTTTTCCCCCCCTTTGATCGGGCCGCATAATTATTGCGGGCGAGTAAAGTTCGATAAATTCCAGCGAATTTGCGCGGTCACGGGTCGCGGAGTTCACGCAAACAGCGTTCCATAGTTTCTTGCGCGTTATCGAGCCGGCCAAAGAAGAGACGTCCCTGCACAACCGTATCGTAATACATAACAAGAACGTTCTGACGACTTCATTTCGAGGATCTATAGAATCCCGAAAACATTGGGAGAAAAAGAAACGATCAACAACGGCAAAACGAATCGGGAGGAAGTTGTCGAACGAAAAGAGGTTTACTGTTTTTCAGAAAATTCCATTAAATGTTTAAAATAGTACCTCAAGTTATACCTAATAGAAAACTCGGTACAAAATGTTGTGTGTGTGGTGACAGTTTCTGGATTCGCCAACAGAGGGCTACGTTCTCTCGCAAGTACGTCCCTCTACTAACCATTCAATGTCCTTTTTCAATCATTCGTTATACAGTCTGTCCAATAAGAGTAGCATGCTAGACTTATGTCTAAATCTATGGAGTAAATTAATATAAAGAAGGATAAACGCTGGTGTTAATCGGAAAAATTCTCTGTCGTCAAATATTTGAACAGTTCTTCGATACTCTGCCTTTGCTTTAATCCGACTGACGAAGCGACTCGCATAGACGCACGTCTCCTTTAACGGAATATCCATTTAAGCTCAATATTGATTACGATACCTACGTAAGTAGTTTTAAGTGACCGGTCACAGATATATGTCTCAGATAGGAGCTAATGGAGCCGATACAACCGAGAAAATACTGAGAAAGAAGATGGAAACCACGCTATTGATCAGCCTTAGGTTTCCAACTGCTAATGCTCCTTCTCATATTAAAAGATTTACTGTGAGTTTTTCTACTGAAAAAAGAAAATTAATTAATCACGTTTACTTATTGTCATGAGACTCTGCACCTACGTATGTGTGATGAGTGCTCCGAGAGGATGGCAATTGAACACCTCATGATAGGCTACTCGAAATACAACAAGACCTGTATGCAACATAGTTTGGAACCTAAGCTCGAAGACAACCTCGAAACTGGACATTTCAATAAGTATTGTTAAACCATTAAATAAAAACAGAAAGGAATAACACGAGAGTCGTGAATAAAGAAAAGGCTTTTTGGAAAAATCGACTTCGGTGTGAGGAAACAGTGTAAACGGAAACAGGAAAAAGCGTATTTCCCAGCGTCCCGTAACGATTCGTCCACGGACCAGAGAGAATTAATCAGTTCACCGTCGGCGGTGCTCGCGGGTCACGTTTTATGAAATTCCAACGTATCGAGTATAACGGGCTCGGTCTGTAAATAACCGACGAGCCGGCTGCGCGATAAATTAAGGGAAATGAATTCATATCGACGTCGGTGGGCCCCGCTTTCGTCGCTAAATAATCCAGATCGTAATCGTTCGCGGACAGGACGGCACCCCGACGCGTTTAAACTCGCAATTAGAATGTTCGTTATCGGCCAAGCGGGACAGTGGCGAGGCATTTTTCAACCGTTGGCCCGCTTTAAGAGCGAATTGCAACGCGCCCTCGCGTCCTCTAAATCTCTTGGAAATGCTTCCCCGGCACGTTTTTCCCTCCTTTCGCCAAATTTTTCCATTTTTTTCTGTCCCTTTCAGCCTCTTTGTTTGTTGCAAACTGTCCGTAATGGCGCTCCACGCAGTCGGTTATGCCCTCCTCGTGTCTCCGATTAATCCACACGCAACAGCAAAGACCGATTCGAGCATCAAGGGAATCAACTGTGATCCGTTCAGAGGCTCTTCTCTCTTATCTCCCACTACTCTTGATTCTTTTTACGGCCTCGACGGCAACTACGAAACGCGTTTGTCGGAAACTGCCGCCTAAAACGATTTCCTTATCGGTTTATGCCCCAACAAACTCTCTCCAAGAAAATTCTATTTTTTAACGCGCGTTATAATAACACGCTCATTGCTGCTGATTTTACGTCATTCTTCTCTTATACTTCTGTCAGTTAGTTTGTCAGTTAATTAGTTAGTTTGTAAGCAGTTAATAAGTTAGTTGGGATGCTAGTTAGTTAGCTTGTCAGTCAGTTAATTAGTTTGTTTGCAGTTAGTTAGTTAGTTCTTAGTTTCTTAGTTTCTTAGTTTCTTAGTTCTT